ACATACATATACATTTGTGAAACACACATATACACACATACATGATTTATTATAAGGCATATATATGTGATTTAGTATGAGAAATTGGCTCACATGATTATGGAGGCTGAGAAGTCCCATGATCTACTGTCTACAAGCTAGAGACCCAGAAGAGCTGGTGGTATAATTCAGTCCAATTCTGAAAGTCTAGGAACTAGTGGAGCCATTGGTATAAATCTCAGTCTGAAGGCAGAAGAAATTGAGATGAGATGTACCAGCTCAAGCAGGCTGGCAGGAAGCAAAGAGGGATGAATTCTTCCTTCCTCTGCCTTTTGTTCTATTCAGGACCACCCACATTGGGAAGAGAAATCTGTACTAAGTCCACCTATTCAAAGGCTAATCTCATCTGGAAACACCTTCACAGACACACTCAGAAATAGTGTTATATCTGGGTACCCCATGGCCAGTCAAGTTGACACATAAAATTAACCATCACAAATAGAATGGACAGTATTTTTCTTCATAGACAATTTTTTAACTGTTTATTTTGAGATAATTATACATTGACAGAAGTTACAACTGTATAATACAAACATATAGAGAGGTCTTGATGTACCCTTCATATAATTTCCCCGAAGAATTATTTAACACATCTTAACATAACTACAGTACATATCAAAACCAGAAAATTGACATTGGTACAATGGATGTTGTGTCCGGGGTCTCTAAGACCACCCTCATGTTCAGAGATTTGCTAGAAGAGCTGGACTCAGCATACAGTTATACTCATAGCTAAGATTTATTGTAGTAAAGATGTAGTAAAGATACACAGCAGATCATAAAGGGAAAAGACATAGGCAGAGTCTGAGGAATCCATCTGCAGGCTTTCTTATATTTTCTCTCTCCCATGAGGAGTCACACAGAGTACACTTACTCCCATCCCTTCCCTCCTCATCCCCAGCAATGAAAATGTAGCAACATGTGTGATATTTCTACCCAGGGAAGCCTGTTAGACACTCAGCATTCAACGTTTTTATTGGGTGTTGGTCATCTAGGTGCCCTCTGCCTAGCATGTATGAAAATTTCAGAGTTCCAGAAGAAACTTCCAGGTGTTGAGCATAAATCACATTGTGCAAATGGTCTAGGCACGGTGTGCCACCATTATCGGTTAGAGAACAGTGGGAATACTGCCAAAATCCAAATTCCCAGACACCAGCCAAGGATCAACCTTGCAAACTGGCCTTAATAAAGATAACACCCTCAGGCCAACTATGTTAATTTTTTATTCATAGGAGTGTACATTTCTATGCCATTTTTCACAAGCATATATTTGTGTAACTACTACCACAATCAAGAATAAAAGAATTATTTCATCATCACAAAAATCTCTCCTATGCCACCCTTATGGTCACATCTTCCCCTCTCCCTCCACACCTTCCCAAATCACTAATGTATCTCCATCTCAGTAATTTTGCATAGACCATTTTTAAATGAAGGAAATATTCATGTATTTTAATTTTTAATTGAAAAAGTGGTAAGCTTTATGTTTATATTGTTATAACATAACCTATGTTGAAGGGAGTTTAGGATTTTGATTTAAGAAATGATTATAATTTTTAAGGTGGATGGTAGATACTCTGGTGTTCCTTATATTATTATCTAAAGTTTTCTTGGTACCTAAAATATTATATAATAAGAGAAAGAGAATCAAAATTTTTTGAAAGATTCAATGTAACAAATTTTGATGGTATTTGCTTTCATTTTTTTGAATCAAATTCTAAGTTTTATTTTTAGATTATTGACTGTCCTCTTTCTTCTTCCTGGGTCAAATTATCAAATACATCTAAAATACATTCTTTTACACACCGAGGCTACATGATATGAAAAAAAAATAAAATACATTCTCTATAGTTATTAGATGATTGATAATATAATAATTTACTATTTTTAATAATTATTAAATAACCTAGGATATTTTATTAAGTCTGCTATACTGAAAAGTAGCTCAGTCTAAATAACCAATTAACATATTTTTTTTCTTTTTAGGCACACCAGATTAATATTGGTTATTATTTGACATTACTGTTTTTATATGGAGTAGCACTTACTGAAAGAGGAAAGAAAGAGGTATGTGGCATATACTGTTTGCCCGTTATAAATCTTTTTATGTATATCAACTTCATTTTAGCAAATTAAAATGTTGATTTTTAAAAATTCTTTACAAATTGAAACTATTCAGTGACTTTTCTGTTGTATATTTATAATTTAGGGTAATTATACAAAGATTGTTTTGTGAAATTAAAAATACTGCTAAAGGAAACTGTTAATATTAGCTTTTATTAATAACTTCAGTTATTTTAAGTTTATCATTTAAATGCTTGCCATTTATGGAAAATAGAAAATTTTTTAGCTTCTTTCACTTATACATTTTAAAAATATTCATTTTCTAGTATAGCTTAATTTTTGGTTTTAATCTTACTTCTTTTGTAAAATATGAGTTTTACCTCAAATTCTTTGTTGAATAAAGCAAAATGCAAGTAAGTAAAAATGAGAGTTAAATAGATAATTTCTAAGGGTTCTTTCAAATTTAACATTTTCTTTCTTTTTATGATTTTTAAAAACTTCTTAAATTTTCTTTGCAGCCTTGATATTTCTTTTATTTTCTTTTTCCCAAATTTATGTCTTTACTTGGTTTTATAGATTAAATATATAAATGTGACTTGTTAATTAGGCGAAGTAGAATTTATAAGCACCCAAACTGAAAACATTTCTATTTCAAATAATTTTGCAAATAATTTCATGTAATACTAATTATTGTTTAGTGTGATATACTAGAGGATATTTTAAAGCAAGGCCATGTAGCATTTTTCTGACTTATTTTTTGTTTCCTGAGAGACTGAGGTCATTATGCCTGTTTTATTAATTATAACTGAAACCTCTATTCAAGCTGATCCTGATCTTTACTTCCAGACCTATATTGCTTATGATCAAGATGATACTTCCCCAAAAGAGATTATGTGTCTGGTCAAGAAGTCACATAATTCCTATTTGAAAAATTAGGAAGAATTGTGCTACAATTAGGGAGGAAAATTAAAATGATAAAGAATTGTGCTCTAATAGTCATCAGAAAAGCCCTATTTGGGTAATAATATTTGTCAATTTTAGATTAAAAAAAATTGTTGGTTTAAATTTCACTTTGAAATGTTGATTAAATAAGATCTTAAATTTGTTTGTAGTAAATATTTTAAACCCTGAGTACATTATCTTTATGATCACATATAGACATAGCTAAGATTAGAGGTGTGAATAAATGGCCAGATGACTGGTTCTTTTTAAAGCTGCCATAATTTTTGCTGTTTGGGAAATAATTGTTTATCATAAAAGAAAAAAAATGCTTTTCACATCAGCCAAACCTAGTTTTTTGTTCTACAGGATTATACAGAAGCTGAGAATAAATTTCTGGTGATGAAGATGGTGATCCAAGAAAATGAAATTTGTGAAAACTTTATGTCTTTAGTTTATTTTGGACGTGGTTTACTTCGATGTGCTCAGAAGAGGTAAGGATTTTAATGAATGGGTAGATCTTGTCTGTCAACTTTTAGCATGGTGAAATGGGAATTAAGTGTGTACAGTATACCAGGGATCATGACATTTGTTCTTTGCTGGTTCTTTTTTTCTTTATCTGTTCCTATAGACAATAATTTCTTTAATGTACTTGAGAATATTGACTATCAAATTTAACAGGCAATGACAACAAGAGGCAGTGTATCGTTGACGTTGGGAACATAGCCTTTGGAGTCTGACAGACCTGGGTTCAGATACATTTTCTACCACTTACCCTAGGAAACTTAATGTTGTTAGGCCTTATATTTTTTTCTTATCTCTAAAATGGAACCAATAATAGTGTTCACCTCATAAGGATGTTGCAGGTGATTAACACAGTGCCCAGGACACAAAAATACTATACTTAATAAATAAATGATGGTTGTAGTTATTAATATTATCACTACTGACTTGGAATAGTTTTTTAAGTTGTAAATGAACTTATGAAGAATTGAAAGGGTCCAAATGCTTAGTTTGGGGAGTATTGGGTACTACATATTTTAAGAATGTGAAATTGTACAGAGGAGCCTATATGGATTATCTGTTTACTTCCTATATGAAGATCCTTAACCATTTGTAGCATCATTCATTCATTTTATTTACTAATCATCTATTATATTCCAGAGACTGTTAGGTGTTGGGGATACAAAACCTAACATGGTTTACAAAATAGACAGTTCTCGTCTTTGTGTAACTGACAGTATAGTGAACATTACAGACCTTAATCAAATAATCAGTCATAAAATACTCAATTATGAAATATGATAAAGAGCTCTGAAGGAAAATAGAGTAAATAAAGTCTTTACTAGAGCCCCAGTCTGGTTCTCGGAATCAGAAGTCTTCCTGAAGAAATAATGTTTGGTTGAGATCTGAAGGATGAATTAGGGAAAGTTTACTTGGGCAAACTCTTATGAGGGATTACTACTGGGCCAAACCACTGGATCCTTAAAAATGTCACCTATGTGGTAGTTCCCTGATTCTTTGTAAGGTTTATCTCCTATCTTCTGGCATGCCTGTTTTTAACTAGGATATCCAGAAGACTTCTCACTTTTCACATCTTTTCACTAGGTCTGATCTACATGATGCCATCAATATAGTGGGCTAGCATGGTGCTTTGCAGAATGTCAATATGATCAAAATCCTTTCAGTCTATAGTTGTGACAAAGTAAGAGATTTAACATAGTCTGAGACAAGACAAAGAATGTGTACTACTGTCCTTCAGATATGAAAACTACTTTTTGTTCTCTTTACTGATGGGCATTGGAGAGAATCAATTTTCCAGATCATTGACACTAGAAAGCCCAGTTGTATGACAGCATCATTACTTTCATCCCTGGCCTATAGAGGACAGCCACCACTGAGCTTCTCAAAGACACTGGTGCCCTTAGTCTGTATTTCTTATTGCATTGATGAATGGAGTATCCACTGAGCCTTTCCAGGAACATTGTCCAGTGGTGGGTTCTGTGTTTTTATGTAGTAAATCCACTCTAACATTCTCACCTTCCTGAATCTTCTGACTCCTTTAGTACTCTACCAAGAAATTTTCAACATTTCTACCTCACTTACTATAGACCATCATTGTGTACAGGACCCTTCTCAGCAGCATGTTAGGTCTGGCTTCAGGTGTCCTGGGTAGGAAAGTAAATTTCGAATTATGGAAGAGTTGTCCCATATCAGTATGCACTTCCCTGTCCAGCCTTGTATTTACTCTTGGTTCAGCACCCTTAAAATCTACTCCCACTCGTGTTCCTACCAGTACATTCTAGTCAGATTTTGCAGTTCTTATGGCGAATAAGCTTTTTCCTCCTGGACAGGGGCCCTGTTTTCCACTTCAGCTCTCTTACATTTGACCCTAAATTTATTGGTCCGAAGATAATTAAGAGAGAGGTGAGGAGGATCTTGAGGATGAGGGGCATCATCTTTTTTTTTTTTGAGACAGAGTCTCACTCTTTTGCCTGGGCTAGAGTGCCGTGGCGTCAGCGTGGCTCACAGCAACCTCAAACTCCTGAGCTCAAGCGATCCTTCTGCCTCAGCCTCCCGAGTAGGTGGGACTGCAGGCATGCACCACCATGCCCGGCTATTTTTTTCTATATATTTTTAGTTGTCTATCTAATTTCTTTCTTTTTTTTTTAGTAGAGACGGGGTCTCACTCTTGCTCAGGCTGGTCTCGAACTCCTGAGCTCAAACAATCCGCCAGCCTCGGCCTCCCAGAGTGCTAGGATTACAGGCGTGAGCCACCGCGCCCGGCCCGGGGCATCATCTTTTGAGACATACATCTCAGATGATATTTTTGTATGATCTCTAAGTAAAGGGAGAGTCTTTGCCAGCCAGAGGGTTCAAAGGGTAGTTTAAGGATTCACATAAATATCCCCATTTCAGATCTTAGAATATACTCATTCCCTGTTAAAGCCCTGTTTTTAGCATAGTAGTTCTGTTGAGGCTGTGCTTTTGGTCTCCCTTGCAGTTCTACCATTATGATTAAATCCTGGACCTCATTTTGAGTATAGTCTTCCCTATGTCTAGAGGAGGTAAGGGTTCCTTATGTTATCATAGAAGCCTTCTAGCTTTCACAGTGTCCTGAGTATTAGTCTTGTTGAGGCTGTGCCTTCAGTCTCATTTGCAGTTTGTTCCACCTTATGATTAAATCTGGGCCTTATTTTCAGCACAGATTATTTTTATGGCTATAGGAGATGAAGTCTCTTTATATACTGCCATAGAGGCCTCTGGCTTTCACAGTGTGTCCTAAGTTAATAGTTGGCTGACCTGTGCCTATCATTCTCTTTCTTCAAGGCCTCCAAGACAGTTAACAAAAGCCAACCAACTCTACAATCCCTTTAATTACCATGGCCCCCATACTGTTCAAGCTTGAGCTACTACATAATCTATTGCCTCCCCTTCCACCTGTATTTCATCCCAATCTGCCACAGGTGAGAGTCCTAGTATTTGTATTTCTAAGCATGCCAGAGGTTATCACCACCCTACTTACCACAAAAAAATGGGTTACTTGGTGTCTTGTTAGTAAACCATCCAGTTCCACAGTCCCATTCAAATTAACTTTATTTTAAAATACCTTGCAGATATAATGGAGGACTGCTAGAATTTCATAGAGGCTTACAAGAAGTTGGAGATGTAAATGACCATTGGTTTGACATAGATCCTACAGAAGATGAAGATTTACCTACAACTTTTAAAGTAAGAAATTATTTCAGAATAACATTTCATTTGTGACTAACCAGAATCATTTTTGATAAAGTATGAACCAACTAAGTCATATTCTATAGCAATCACATTCTTTTATTGGCAGTTAAATTTTTTATATAAGAAACAACCTTGATTATATTACCTAATGCAGAATGTGAGTGTGATTCAACAAGGAGAGAAAAGTGGGGTGGCAATGTCAGCATTTGCAAATAACAGGAAGGTTAATAGCCATTCTAGGCCAGTACTTCACATGATTAGAGCCAAATGTACTAGTTAACTTCTTTTTTTCTAATTATATTTACCGTTATTTTGTTGTTGATTTAAATTACAAAGTACTAAATGCTTAGTTCAGAAAACTTGGAAAATATAAAAATTTCCAAAGATAAAAGTGAAATTCATTCATATTTGTTCAAATGGAGAAAACATTGTTGGCATTTTCATTTGTGTCTTTCCAGACACACACACGTATAATATAAACACTCATATCCTTTATTTTTACTAAATTGGTATGATGTTATACACATTTATTTATAATCTGGAAATATATATATTTTTAATTTCTCAGTAATCAGATTATTATATAGTGTGATTTTTACATTATCTATTATATAACTGTGCTTTAATTTGCTTAACCAGTTCTCTGCTATTGAACATTTAGTTTATTCTAACTAAACATGCCAGTTTTTCATTTTTGTATAAAGTGATGTTTGCATATTTCTCATATTATTCTATTAGAATAAATTTCTAAAGGTGGAATTGTGAAGCAAGTGTTCATATACTTGTAAAGTTGTTATATATCTCCAAATTTCTTCTCAGAAAGTTTATACCTATTTATATTCTTCAGAGAGTGTAAGAATTTCCATTTTCCCATACCTTCTGGGTATTCTTTACCTTTCAGGTAATTTTTACCCATCTGATAAGCCAGATGGGTTTCTTTTTAATTTGTTTAATATGAAAATAACTCCACCAGATTTCTCTTGGTTAATGTTTGAATGACCTATCTTTTCCCAAAGTTTTACTTTAAATCTTTATTTATCCTTATATTTTAGTTGGCTTTAAGGCCAAAAGCATTCCTCAAAATAAAGAGTAACATTTTATAAAAATATAATATAAAATTCAATTCTCCAGGAAGCTGTAACAATACAAAATTTGTATATACCTAGTTATATAGCCTCAAAATATGTGGGACAAAAATTGACAGAACTGAAAGGAGAAATAAAAAAATCCCCAATCACAATGGAATGCTTTAATATACCTCTCTTGGCAATCAAAATATATGCAGACAGCTTTTGGCATTGTTAAGATAATCATATGGCTTTTAACTTTGACTTACTAAAGTAATAATTTTATACATTTTTGAAATATTAAAACTTTCGTGCCTACATAAGGTAGTCTCTATTTGATCTTGGTTATTTTATTTTTTCCTCTTCCTTTTAAAGTATATTTTTTTA